CCTGCTCCAGATAGGGGCGGGAACAGCCTGCCCTGCCACTGGGTTTGGCAAACAGACAAAACATCAAAGCCGTGGGCAGGGCATCCCGGGGGCAGGGAGCAGCCTGGGACCCGTTGAGCCGGGCATCCCAGGGGGCAGGGAGCAGCCTGGGGCCCATTGGGCAGGGCGTCCCGGGGGCCAGGGAGCGGCCTGGGGCCCATTGGGCAGAGCGTCCCGGGGGCCAGGGAGCAGCCTGGGACCCGTTGGGCCGGGCATCCCAGGGGGCAGGGAGCAGCCTGGGGCCCGTTGGGCAGGGCGTCCCGGGGGCCAGGGAGCGGACTGGGGCCCGTTGGGCCTGGCGTCCCGGGGAGCAGCCAGGATTGGCTATCGCTCTGCTAAGTCCCCTCTGCCCTGTTCCAGTACCAGCCTGGGGCACTGCCCAGCCCTGTCCCTGGAGGCACCTGAAGTCCTTGCGGTTGTAGAAGTCCCAGGCAGAGGCGTGGCACACCACCTCCCTGCCGGCTGGCTTCTCAATCATGGACTTGGCCCAGAACTCCGGCGGCATGGCAATCAGGCCCAGGGAGGTAAAGAACTTGTCCGACTCTTGAAACATCTTCTCCGGGGTCCAGCCCTGTGCAGCCAGCAGAGAGAGCACATGGGAGCCGGGGGCGGGGTTGCTCCAGGACGGACGGGGCAGGAAGCCGGGGACGGTAACACAGCAGCGCTTCTCGCCTCTGAAACTCAGGGCATGAGCCTGCTCCCATCAGGGTCAGGGGCCAAATTCTCATTGGTTGCAGTGGGAGCAGGAGCAGGCCCTTGGAGTATTTAGCGGGGGTGGGGAAGGAGGATTCCTGTAACGCCAGGGCTGGCTCTGACGCGGTCCCTGACAGAGCAATGACAGACACAGGCCATCGGGAAGGAGGGACTCAGAGTGTGTCCACACTGGGAACCAGCAGAGCTACGTCACTCAGAGGGGTGAAAATCCACACACACTCCTCCCCAAGCGATTTAGTTTAGCTGACCGAACCCCTAGTGTAGACAGTGCTAGGCCGAAGATTCAGGGATTATCTCCTGGGGCAGGGCACTGCAGTGAGTGGGATACTCTGCTGTAAAACTGGAGAGACTCAAGATAGCACCTTGCAGACAAAATCAGAGTTCTGCTGCTGGCGCCACCTGGTAACCAGACCAGGTGGGTCCTATTAGCTCCACCCTGGGTGGAAAAGGGGCTGAATCTCCTTTGCCTTGCACCTTGTTCCATCATTCCCAGCTGTGCTAAGTGGGTGACAATCACTCCCAGCTCAGAATGTCAGCACCCCCCACCCTTGCACGGGTGTAAAATAACTATATAAGGCGCAGAGCAACACAATCAGGGCACAAGCACAGCGGGGTCCTGCAGGGACATGCCAAACTCAGGAATAAACAGACGGAGGTTTATATTTCGTGTTGCTAACGACAAGGGGGGGGGGCTGTATGGGCCAGGGAGTCAGTGCTATGTTAAGTATCCTCTGAAGAAGTAGGCTTTTTACCCACCAAAGCTTCTGCCCAAATAAATCTGATGGTCTTTAAGGTGCCACCGGACTCCTCGTTGTTTTAGTGCTCTGTTAGGCGCAAACCGGAGCCGCTCTCCCAGAACCTCCTGTTACTGAGCGCGTCTGTGTAAGTGTGAGGAGAATCAGGCCCAGTGGCTGCTGGTTATTCTGAGACCTGGACTGTTTCCCGGGGGAAGGGAAGTCAGCACCACCTAGAGAGGAAAAGGGGTTCCCAAGAGCAGAGTCTCAAAGGGTTCGAGCGCACTGACCTGTTTTTGCATGGCTGGGGTGGCATCCACTTTAGTGGCACTAGGGTAGGGCGTCACCAGGTCAAAAATGTTGGACCACGACTGGGCCCACATATTCCCTAGAGACCCGCAAGGGGGTTTGGGGGCAGGAAGGGGAGGAGAAAGGGAGAGAAGAACAAAGGCAAAGTTACTCCCAGCCCCGGAGCCAGAAGGGACGTCACTACCTTAGGCTATTTTCAGAGATGACAAAGGGCTTTGGACCCTGTAAAGGGAATCCCAGGGGTGGCTCTGAAAGCCTCAGCCCTGGTTAAGGTCCTGGCTAAGACCTGGCAAAAGCCAGTGTAACTCCACTGCCATCACTGAGAGGCAGGACGGTCCAGTGGTTAGAGCACAAGACTAGGATTTAGCAGACCTGGGTTCAATTCTCTGTTCTGCCACAGACCTCCCGGGTGACTTGGACAAGTTTCTTAGGCTCAGGTACTTAGGCTCCTGCCTTCTCTTGAGTTCTATGGAAGTTAGGAATTTTCATACCTTCGAGGATCTGGGCCTTAGCCACTCTGTGCCTCAGTTTCCCATCTGTACAATGGGGATAATGCCCTGCCCTTCCCTCACATATAAGCTTGTGAGGCGCTCAGATAGTGCAGGGATGGGGCCAGAGAGACAGAAATGGAGCTGCCCTGGCTTTGACACCCAGCTTCAGCTTGGGGCCAAGAGCCCAGAGAGGGGGAAAAACATCACCCAGTCTGTAGAGCAGCGGACTGCAAAGCAGAACTCTTGCCTTGGCAGCCGGCTCGCTGGGACTCGGGGTAGATCAGACAGTTCACACGGTTGGATGCCCAGAGTTTGGTACCCGGAGCCAGGCTTTGCAAGAGCTCCGGGCGATTTCGACATGTGCAGCACCCAATGTGCTGGGCTCTTTGCAAAGCCGGGCCTCCCCAGTGCTGGGCCTGCGGGGAAGTCCGGTCCCTAACGACAGGCCCTGTTTTTCAGAGGACGAGGGCCCTTTCATTCATAGAATATCAGGGTTAGAAGGGACCTCAGGAGGTCATCTAGTCCAACCCCCTGCTCAAAGCAGGACCAACCCCCAGACAGATTTTTACACCAGTTCCCTAAATGGCCCCCTCAAGTATTGAACTCACAACCCTGGGTTTAGCAGGCCAATGCTCAAACCACTGAGCTATCCCTCCCCTTACCCACTAGCACCATCACCCCCACATTAACAGGCTGATTCACAGCCCCATGGAAGACTGGCGCCAGCTGGGAGGATGGGGTGCTAGGTCTCCGGGGTGGCGGGCAAAGGAGAAGAAGGCCCATCTCAGCCGTCAATGGCCCCAGACCATCCCAGCACCGAGACAATAATGTCCCAAGAGAAATGCAATGGCCCCGGCCGTGCCCAGCGGAGGCCTTACCGAGCAGGTGAGCTGGGATGGGGCCCTTCAGGTTGATGCGCTCCTGCCCATATTTGTTGTAGAGGGCGCGGCGCACGTAGGCATGCAGGTTGAGGTACAGGGGCTGCAGCTGCTGGTAGAGCTGCTCCAGGTCCGCTTCGAAGGTGGGCGTTTCGTAGAGGGATCTCCAGAAGGCCCCGTTGTCCGGGTGACCTGCCCAGATGTAGAAGGAGAGCGGGGATCGTGAGCCCTGCCGCTGATCTCCACGGGCCGCACCAGCCCTGGCCCGGGGATGGCCCTGCCCCCTCGCTTCGGGGCTGGAAGTGTGGGGTGAGGGCGGCCAACTGAGCCATTGTGATTGGCTCCAGGGGACCTTTCTCGTCTCCCTCATCTAGCTCCTGTCACGCTGGGCTCTCAGAGACGCCTGACCCCTTTCCAGGCCACCGCCAGGACCTTGCTGGGGGCTACTGCTTTTTACTCCACTTCCCTCAGCCAAGCCCGTGAACCCTGCGAGGCATTCGCCTGGGGCTGCGGTGAGATTGTCACCGGAGCCTAAGGAAAGCAGAGGTCTGGGGGGAACTGGGCACGGAGGAAAAGGAGGATTGTGTCTGAGTGAGGAGCTCAGGGTTGGGCGCAGGGAGCTGGAGGCCTACGATAAATTTTCTGCAGTGGGGTAGGGATGGGAGCGGAGTGGGGCAGGGATGGGGGCGCATTGGGGGGCAGGGATAGCAGTGTAGTGGGATGGGCACAGGGGGTGGGGACGGGAGCACAGTGGGGCAGAGATGGGGGTGAATTGGGCAGGGATAGGAGTGTGGTGGGATGGGCATGGTGGGGATGGGAGCAGAGTGGGGCAGGGATGGGGGTGAATTGGGCAGGGATAGGAGTGTGGCGGGACAGGCACAGGGGGTGGGGATGGGAGCACAGTGGTGTGGGGATGGGGGGCGGGCATGGGAGTGCAGTGGGGTAGACATGGGAGCAGAGTGGGGCAGGGATGGGGGCGCATTGGGGGCAGGGATAGGAGTGTGGTGGGATGGGCACAGTGGAGTGGGGATGGGAGCGGAGTGGGGGCAGGGATAGCAGTGTGGTGGGATGGGCACAGGGGGTGGGGACAGGAGCACAGTGGGGCGGGGATGGGAGCAGAGTGGGGCAGGGATAGGAGTGTGGCGGGACAGGAGCACAGTGAAGCGGGGACGGGAGCACAGTGGGGCGGGGATGGGGGTGCATTGGGAGCAGGGATAGGAGTGTGACGGCATGGGCCCAGTGGAGCGGGGACGGGAGCACAGTGGGGCGGGGATAGGGGAGGGGACGGGACGGGAGCACAGTGGGGCGGGGATAGGGGAGGGGACGGGAGCACAGCTGGGAGAGGGTCTGCCAGCAGGCAGGCTGTGTCTTTAGGGAGCGGTGGGCCTTCACCCTTTTGGGAAGGCAGCTCCATAGCTCACCATTGAGCCTGGCTGCCTTGTTGCTCAGCTCCACATATCTCTTGTATTTGCTTTTGATTTCCTTCCCGGAGGCGTCCCGCCAGCCCTTCCAGGAGAAGAGGAGCTCGTCGTAATCCCGTGACTTGGCTAGGATGTCGGTGAGGTCTGCAAAGAGAGGAAACAACCATGGACTCCATGCTGTGCCGCGTAACGTCCCGGGATCTGGGCATCCCTGGAATTCCCTGCTGAACCCACGTCCCCAGCCGCAGCCTCTTCTACCTGTAGATCAGCCACCCCAGAATGGTTCCCATTGCCCGGTCCTCCTTCACCTGCCCAGGCTCTCCTCCTAGGCCTCTACTGCAAACGTCCCCACGAGCTCACCTGGCGGGACCGTCTCCCGCTCCCCGCGAGCTCACCCCATGGGACCGCTGCTCCCGGCCATCGTTCTAACTCCGCTTTTCCCTCTAAGTCACCTTCTCCCAAAGCCCTCCTGGGGGAGCCCTTGTTGGTCACAGTTTTCTCTATGGTCTATGTGAATGTAACCCGTCCTCTATATTTCACGTGCTCTGTGGTGGAACCTCATTCTGCTGGGGAGATCCTAGTTGCTCCAGAGCAATCCAGTAGGGTTGGCTAACACATTGATACTAGGAACCGTTGGGTTGTAGCCCTGACAGCTGAGATTAAATGAGATTGGAATCACCCGGGCATTTGGGAACTGTCCCACTCTTTCCTCCTAGTTTGCTGCACACACATATGGCGATCCCAGCCTTAATTTCTGGGGCTTCTTCAGAGAACTTCAGGTGCTGGGTGGTGGTGGTGAGCACCTACCATTCCCGGGAGGCCTTGCTACATCTTACCAGGATCCAATGGATAGCACTTGCCCTGTCCCTTGCAGACCTTGGCTACGCTGTATGTGGTCTCCATATCCGAGAGGATGTTGTTGTACTGAAAAAGAAATTGTATCCACTTACATGCCTGCTTATTGCTCTGTGCTCGGAGACAATCATAGAATCTCAGGGTTGGAAGGGACCTCAGGAGGTCATCTAGTCCAACCCCCTGCTCAAAGCAGGACCAATCCCCAATCTGACGGCTTAGCCCGTCTCCAGCCACCCTTCTCTGGTCCTTCCATCCAGAGATCTCAAAGCACTTTACAGACATGAATGAATTCAGCCTCACCAGTGCCGGGAAGGTAGGAAACGAACATCCACGTTTCACAGGGTGTGTGTATGGTGGGGGGAAGTGGAGGCACAGAGAGACGAGACCTGCCCAAGCTCAATCTGTGAGCCAGTGGCAGCCCCAGGGGCCCGAATCTCCAACCCACAGGATGCAAATCTCCCTCATTTACTCAATGGGAGTTCTGTCTCTCCTGTAAGGGAGGCTGGAGCCTGGGAATCCCGCTACCATGCTCTGGGCACTAGCTGGTACTCCTCCCTGCCCTCCCACACAAACACTCTCTGTCTCTTTCAACAAGAGAACATGGGAAACCAAGTGGTTTAATGGTGTTAGTCCACGCCTGGCATAACTACTAATAGAGCCGTTGAAAAATGAGCCATAGGTCAGTCGCCTCATGCCCCCATTCTCTGTATAGGCAGAGCGCCTGTGTCAGACTACATCTCCCATGATGCACCAGAGCCTCCCCTTTTGGGGATGGGAGGCAGTGCATCGTGGGACATTGAGTCCAATTGGGGAACCCAAACAACAAACGAGAATGGGGGCACGAGGAAACCAAACTACAACTCCAACAAGGCACCATGGCAGCATGTCCAAATTGAAATATTTTGACTTTCAGGCATTCAGTTTTTAGATAAAAGAAATCAGTTTTTTTCCCATGGAAAGCAGATCCTTTTGGCAAAACAATGAAGTTGAAAAAAAAACCAATGTTCTGTCAAAACACCAGTTTCGATTGAAAAATGTTGACCAGCCCTAATTACTAATCAGCCAGCCAGCTCAGACACGGTACCAAATTCATGGCCTCAGACCTTCCTGGCTGGCCCTATGTGGCTTCCAAGGGTCAGAACTCAGCCTCCCCCTACAACACCGACGCCACCACGTGGAACTAAAGGAGAATCTCCAGGAGGTGTTAGGAGAAGCAGGGCCCATGACAAGCGCTTCTGCTTTTGGGGGTTTATTAATTTCATTTGGGGGGGGGTATTTTTAGCAATTTTTGAGTTTTATGCAGATGTCCAAAAATCAGGGGAGTTTCAGGACTTTCTCTTTGTATGTACGGGAATGAATCATGATCTACAGGACTCGTTCCAGCATATCTCTTTGTAATGTTCCCTCGTGTGCTCTAACATAGTATTTTTTCAAACAGCACGGTGTTAAAGGGCACTAAGGAACCTTCAGGGCGCACTAGCAGGGTCTACATCAGTGGTCTCCAACCTTTTTACGCCCAAGATCACTTTTTGAATTTAAGGGCACTAAGGAACCTTCAGGGCGCACTAGCAGGATCTACCCCGCCCCACTCACTCCATCCCCCCGCTTGCTCTCCCCCACCCTCACTCACTTTCACCGGGCTGGGGCAGGGGGTTGTGGTTCGGGAGGGGGTGCGGGCTCTGGGCTGGGGCCGAGGGGTTCGCAGTGTGGGAGGGGGCTCCGGGATGAGTCTGGTGCAGGGGGTTGGGGTGTAGGAGGGGGTACGGGGTGCTGGCTCTGGGAGGCAGGTCAGGGCTGGGGCTTGGGGTGCAGGAGGGGGTATGGGGTGCTGGCTCTGGGAGGCAGGTCAGGGCTGGGGCTTGGGGTGCAGGAGGGGGTATGGGGTGCTGGCTCTGGGAGGGGG